CATTAGCTACCCCTTTTGAAGCATGTTCATGTAATTTTGGGCAAGCAACGAAACATATCATCATGATTCTTATTACATAATGTGAGTGATTTTGTGTGGTACATGAAACTTGTTCTTGAGAAGGTTTAAATCTTCTCTTTCTATCATTTTCCTCCAAATCAAATCACGCACAACCAACCGGCATGACAAACTTGCACACAGTAAAGTTACTAGAGCTCATTAGAGATTAGACCCCCATTTTCTGTAAGACGATCCCCTTGGATTCCCAGCACTTTATTCAAGGCCCAAAAGTGATTTGAATTTGATCATGCAAAAGAAGAATCATAATAAACATTGCCAAGTTGCCAAACTGACAGCGAAAGTATCTGCGAAGAAAAAAAGTTATAAATGAGAGGGACAGACAATCTTCTATTTTTTCCAACTAATCCTATCTTGAAAAGTATCAATCATGAACAATGACCAAAACGAAGAAAATTACAAGTTAATGGCCAGTTAAAGCTATCCGAGAGCTTTGACCAAACTGGGTTTCAAAGATACAAAACCAATCTTTTGAAACCCGATTGCTTTCCAATATAAACAAGCGGTATTATGTCATTGGATGCTCTATGCACCCGAGGCACATAACCCAACTGGTAATTAGTGTGTGAGGCAGAATCCAAAGCCCAATATTTAGCTTCCACCCCATGATGCCAATACATGAATGATTAAATTATGACTCTTAATTCTCCTAATGCTAACAACTACTTGAAAATAAGACTCCCCTATTTGTCTTAACCCACCCATGTATGATGATGAAGATGAAGTTAGTGTGGAGCAAGCAATGAACCGTCCAATGCTGATCACTTGGATGCCCTTTGATCTCTTCTTATGGCAGCTGATATGTATTCTGCAGCAGGCTAGGCACCCTTTTGAAATTGATAGCTTATTATGGTTTTGTTATTGACATTTCCCCTCCCCTTTTGCACTTTGACTCTGTAACCCATTATCAATGTGGTTAGCCTTGTAAAGAAGACATTGTTTTTTTTTTCCCTCTGTAGACATTTAAGTTGAAGAATTCTGTTCAGAATTGGCTGCAGAGGCTTGTGAAGAAGCACCAGCACCAGTTGCTGCTGCTGCTGCTGCTGCTGCTGTTGCACCTGTGACATTTTGCATGTAATTTGTAAATTCTCTGGAGCTTAATGTTTGCCTTGTTACTCTGAAGTAATTTTCTGGGTATGGTTAAAAAAATTAACATTTACCTGTGGTGGTAGTTGTGGTGGTGGTAATTGCCATTGAAGAAGGAAGAGAGAGAATCCCAGCTGTGGAACCAGCAGCATAGGGCTGATGAGGCAAATATGGATACTGTACCATTTGGGGATATTGAACTCCAAGACCATGAGCCTGGCTACTGCTCTGTGCATACTGAGCATATAATGGGTAGACATTTTGGTACATGCCAGTTGGCCCTGATGCCCCAGTGGTGGTGTAATAAGGTGAGAATTGTTGACCACCATAAACACTATAATAATTCTGCAGCAAGCAACAAGATGCATTGCCATCAAAGTCAGCTTAAGCAACTCAATTCAATGAAATTGTTAATGCATTGGTAACATGAATCACCATTGCAACATTGAGCTCCCCCAAAAGAAATAAAAATTAAATAAAATCTATGCAATGTCACTTAAATGATAGAAAATTACCATGGGATACATCGAATCTTGTGAATATCCAGTGTACCTGTAAATTATAATTTCATACACACAAAAAAA